CACACACACACACACAGACTAACTCACAAGCAAAGAAGCACGTACCATTGATGTCCCCAATCCCATCAGATCCCTCAGCATCCAGAAAGCTTCGAACATAGACCCTGTAGATTACGGCCTTCTGCCACCACTCCCTGTCCTGTGCCTCCCGACACTGGGGGTAGGTCAGCACTAGAGCCACAACCGTGATCAGTAGGGCCAGCCAACCTGAGAACAACCACAGAATTAGGAAAAAGACAGGTGGTGTATGGGTCAATACTAGAGCCACCACCGTGATCAGTAGGGCCAGCCAACCTGGGAATAATATGGGCACAACCACAGAATTAATTGGTCAAACATTTGTACAACCACAGAATTAGGGCATAGACAGATGGTGTAATTGTCAATAGGGTTAGCCAACCATAGTGAAAACAATGGTACGACCACAGAATTAGGACAGAGAGAGGTAGGTCTATACTAGAGCCACCACCGTGATCAGTAGGGCTAGCCTACCTGGGAACAACCACAGAATAGATCAAACATTGGTACGACAGAATTAGGAAACAGACAGATGGTGTATTTGTCAATACTATAGCCCACTATCGTGATCAGTAGGGTTAGCCAACCTTAGTGAAAACATAGGTACATCCACAGAATTAATCAGTCAAACATTTGTACAACCACAGAATTAGGACATAGACAGATGGTGTAAGGGTCAATACTAAAGCCACCACAATGATCAGTAGGGCGAGCCAACCTAGAGGAAAACATTGGTCCAACCACAGAATTAGGGCACAGACATGTGGGTCAATACAAGAGCTACCACAGTGATCAGTAGGGCCAGCCGACCTGGGTGAAATATTATTAGAAGCACAGAATATGGAAACTAACAGATGGTGTAAACGTATCTGAAAACACAATTGGTACAAGCATAGAATTATAAACAGACAGATAGTGTCAACAATCGAAAAGTTATTTTGAATAATGTATGCACTAAAACTGTGTTTAAAAACAACATTGGTGCAACCACGGAGTTTGTTAAACATTGGTAGTCACAGAATAAGGAAACAGACAGATGGTGTATAGGTCAATACAAGTGCCATCACCGTGATAAGTAGGGCCAGCCAACCTAGGAGAAACATTGGTATACCCACAGAATTAGGACAAAGACAAGTGGTGTGTAGGTCTATACTACAGCCACCACCGTGATCAGTTGGGCGAGCCAAACTGGGAACAACCACAAAATTGGTCAAATATTGGTACAGCAGAATTAGGACATAGACAGGTGGTGTATTTGTCAATACTATAGCCACTGCCGTGATCAGTAGGGCCAGCCAACCTGGGAACAACCACAGAGTTAGGACACAGACAGGTGGTGCTCACAGTCAAACATTTGTTTTAGATATGTTAGACAAAGTGTCTCTCCCTCCCTTCTCTCTCACCCATCCAGCCAACCTGGGAACAACCACAGAATTAGGACACACACACAGATGGTGCATAGGTCGATACTATAGCCACCACAGTGATCAGTAGGGCCAGCCAACCTGGTGGAAACATTGCTACAACCACAGAATTAAGAAACAGACAGATGGTGCTAACGTATCTACTCTCTCCTCCCAGCTCCCCTCTATCTCCCTCCTCCTCCTCCCTCCCTCTTCTCCTTACCTGTGATAACGATGGACATGCAGACATATCGAAGATCCCCCTCTCCTCCTCCTCTCCCACTCCCTCTACCCCCCTCCCTCCTCTCTCCCTCCCACCCTCATCCCTCCCTCCCTCCTTCACTCCTCCTCTCACCTGTCAGAACGATAGACAAGCAGACATATCGAAGATTCCTTTTCTTACTCCTTCTCTCCTCCCCTCTCCCTCCCTACCCCCTCCCTCTCTCCCTCCCTACCCCT